GACTCACTTGGTAGTCCAGGCTGGCCTCGAACTCACAGAGATCCATCTGCCTCTGCCTCCTGAGTGCTGGGATTAAAGGCGTGCGCCACCACTGCCCGGCAACAACTGTCTATTCTTGATGTCGCTCTGATTATAACCCAAAGGATGCTGCCTTTTACCGCTGAAATGTGCTTACTGTGGTTTATGTATAACATCAAATAAAGAGTATTTAGCACTTCTTTATAGCTGATCTATAAGTTACAATGCTTTTAGAAACCAGCAACTTAGAACTTACTTTTGAATCCTTTATCATCTAAGACTATGTAGTTCAGAATTGTCCTTAAACACCCATTCAGAAACACACAAAACTGGAACTTCTGTATATGTGTGATTGCTAGTGGCACTTCTTGCCAACTCATTAGATGGAAAGATTAAAATAAAGGAGACAGTTTGTAAGTTTAAAAAGAAGAAAGATTATGAAGACTACTTTAGAGTTGATAACCACATTCAGCAAAGTGACAGGATACAAAATTAACATACAAAAATCAATCGACTTTCTATATGCCAATGACAGAGATACTGAGAAATAAAGGGGGAAACTGTTCCCTTCATAACTGTCTCAAAAACAAATGGATAAACAAACAAATAAAAACTTGGGATAGCCGGGGGTGGGGGTGGGTGGGGGATGGTGTGGAGGGGTGGCACACGCCTCCAGCACTCGGGAGGCAGAGCCAGGCCAATCTCTGTGAGTTCGAGGCCAGCCTGGGCTACAGAGTGAGATCCAGGACAGGCGCAAAGCTACACAGAGAAGCCCTGTCTTGAAAAACCAAAAACCAAAACAAAACAACAACAATAAAAAGCTTGGGATAATCCTAACCAAAGAAATAAAGATTGCTACAATGAAAAAATTTTCAAGAAGACACTAGATATAGAAGGACTCCTCATACTCCTGAATTAGAAGAATCATCACTGCAAACAGGGCTATTTTACCAAGAGCAACCTGCAGATTAAATACAATCTCAATCAAAATCCCAATAACATTTTCACAGAGAAAAAACAATCATTAAAAAAAAAAATTTAAAAATTCACGTGGGATAACAGAAGAATCCTAAGCAAAAAAGAATAACGTCAGTGGCATCACTGTACTTGATTTCAAGTTATGCTGTGGTTTCATATTCACAAAACAGTGTGGTACTGGCACCACAACAGACAGATAAATGAAAAGAATTAAGGACCTAGGTATAAGCCCACATGGCTACAGCCACCTGATTTTTGACAAAGACAAACATTTTTTGTTTTGTTTTGTTTTGTTTCAACAAATTGTGCTGGGAAAACTGAGTTACATATGCAGAAGAATTAAACTAGATCCCTATTTCTTACCCTGAACAAAACCAACTCCAAATTGATCAAAGACCTTATAATTCCTAAAACACTGAAACCATTAGAAGAGAGTAAGTTAAACACTTGGCAATCTAGGCGTCTCTGAATAGGACTCCAGTCACTTGGGAAATAATGCCTACTATTAACAAATGGGACTTCATGAAACTGAAGAGCTTCTGGACAACAAAAGAAATAGTTATTTGGAAGAAGAGACAGCCTGCAGGATGGGAGAAACCCTTTGCTAGCTTTACACTTGGCAAAAGATTAGTATCTAGAATATACAAAGAACTAAAAAGGGAAACAAGAAATCAAACTACCCAATCAAAATGTGGAAATGAGCAGATGTTCAACTTGGCTGGCCGTCCTAGAAACACAAAGTAGGGCTGCACTGATTCCAGCTTGCCCCAGTCAGAATGTCAGCCACTAGGAAAGAAATAGTAGCAGATGTGGACAGCAGAGACCCCTTAGACAGTGCTGGTGGGAAGAGAAACCATTAGGCCAGCCACTGCGGAAGTTAAGTGTGGAAGTTTCAAAAACAAACCAAACAAAAAATTACAGTCCATCTTCTACATGACCCATAACCTAGGTGTACCACTTTTGGGTACTTATCCAAATGACTCCAAGTCAGTTTTTCATGGAGACGTTAATGTTTATTACAGCACTACTTATGTAATTGAACTATGGAGCTAACCTAGGTATCTAACAACAGAGAAATGGATAAGGAAAATGTAGTACATTTGCACAGTGGAATTTTTCATCCTTAAAAAAGGCATGAAGTCATGCGATTAGCTACAGAAGATCATCACATTGAATGATTCTAAACCATCTCAGAAAAACAAATATACATTGCTCTCATTTGTGGTTTCTATATTTTACCGAGACACATAAAACTGTGTATGTATGTATGCTGTGACCCTAGAAGTAAAACTCTCCAGGGGGACAAAGGAGGGTAATGACAGGGTGGAGAGATGGAAAAAAGAGGAGGCTGTAGGCTTTGGGGAAAACTCCCCCACACCCCACATATGTACTTATATGTACATGTAGAAGTACGGCCAGCGATTATTCCTGTGTCCTGTTCTCTTCTCGACTAGTCTTAGTGGCTTGCTCTGAGCACAGGCCCTGCCTCCATGAAGTCTGGCATGGACACTCCATTGTGTCTTTCATCCCATCAGCTGGCCTTGTCTTCTGAATTCTGTCTCTGTTGAAATAATTATTTTCGCACTTATGCTCAGCAATTCTCAATCCTCTGTTTTTTTGTAGTTACTTATTATAAAAATTATCTTGTTCCTTTAGTGGTGCCGTGGCTGCTCACTTCCTGTGACCCTGAACTGACATGAGTACTTTCTTTTTTGTTAAAATTTTCAAAAGATTTTTTTCACTTTATGTGTTTGAGTGTTTGCCTACATGTATGTTTGTGTACCATGTGCATGCCTGGTGCCCATGAAGGTCAGAAGAAGACATTAGATTGCCTGGAACTGGAGTTACTGGCAGTTGTGGGTGCTGGGAATTGAACCAGGGTCCTCTATAAGAACAACAAGTACTCTAACCCCTGAGCCATATCTCTAGGCCTATAATTTATTTTTCAAAGAGTTATTGTTTGTGTGTGTCTATATATTTGTAAATGATAGCGCAAGCAATGGAGCTAACCAATCATGGACTGGAAAAACCTTAGCCTGCAAGCCAAAATAAACTTTTTATAAAGTTTATCATTTCAGGTATTTGTTATAGCAACAGAAAGCAAACATATCATATATGTAATTTTCAATATCATTATCATTTCTGACCAAGTATAATTATATGCTATTTTGTTTTGAAAGTCAAAAAGTGAAACTAACATTTTTTTTTCTCCTGGGAAGGAGTAAACATCAATACCCTTTGTTATGAAATGGCTTCTGTCCCACTCCATGGGTCAAGAAGATATTATCAGAGTGTACAGCCTCAGTTGTGATTGTCAGTATTTTTAAGAAGTTTGTGTCTTTCTAGCCAAATCACTTACCAGAAAGTAAAGGTTGCCAGTTAAATCTTGACTACTATAACTGTAGATCATGACTGTCGAGAACAGTTGAAGGATAAATGAGCTTTGTACTTTGAACTAAAGAGTGAGTGCCTGGACCACTATGAAAACCCGAGGAAAACATTTCCATCCTTGTAACTTAGAACAGAGTTCACTCCTTGAAACTAACAGAAGAAAGTTTTCCTTTTTGGAAATGGTCAGAAACTATTTGACTATCCCTGGACTTTTCGTGGTGCTTTTCAAGTAAAATCAATAGTAATTCCTGAAACCTTACCCGACATAAAGCATGGAGCCAGGCCCTGTGAGCCCGGGAGCTGTAGACCTGGCTCCTCTGCTGATCACAGTCTGGTACAGTGTGACATAGACCATGGGAGAGAAATAACAGCAGCAGTTCAGCTTCAAAGTGTGGGTGTTGCCACCCAGCAGCAAGTGGCCGGGGACTGTAAATTACATGTCCCAGAAGGTCCCAGGCGAGCTGTGCTCCCATAGAGCAGGATTGGGCTTTGTAAAGATGATGGCAGTTGATTTATGAAGGGTAGGGGTATTGTGGATAGCTGAGAAGGAAGGGGGAGGAGCCGACCAAACCTTGAAATTCCCTCTATTAGGATCTGTTTAAAAGGATGCTGTTTGAGTAATTTTCTCGCATTATCTGGGTTATCCATGATCCAGCATACTGATAAAAGCTTAGAAGTCTTCTCTAGCCATTGTTATGAGGGTGTTTTTCCCCTAAAATGGCCTGCTGACTAACAGGAGTTGGGGGAGGGGAGCTGTATCACAAAATGAAAGGTTCAGAGAATAAAGAAACACATTCTGGGGAACTGGAGAGTGGTTGTACTTAATTTTACATTTTAACGTGGATCAGGATAAAATGAGCCCATACACCATAAAGTTTACAGTCAATTGAAACAAAACAATTGACTCTTTTTTTAAAAGTTCAAGAGTAACACGTTTTGAAAGGACTGCAGTACCTATGCTTCAAAGTGAGCCAAGGGAATGTGGAATTGTGCCAGCTAGACCTCGAGGATACTGAATGAAAGACTGTTCCAGGGTCTAGTGATCATCATCTAAGAGATGGAGACAGAAGATAATCACCATCTCACAATGGCAGATTCGGAGAGAAGGAAAAGGCCTAACATCTGGGCAA